TAATATAAAATATATAACAAAATTTAAGAAAATATATAATAAATATAACTAATAAAATTTTAACTAATAAAAATCGATTAATAAAAATTTAAAATATACTAATAATATTTAACTAACAAAATATAAAATATACTAATAAAATTTCACTATATTATACTACTCCTTTCTTGAAAAATTTTGCTTTGCAAAATTATTAAAAAAATTATAAAAGAACTATTATAGTGCAAATACCATCATCATGAACCCGTTAGCAGAATTGATAGTCTATCTGCAGGTATTGAATCTATGGCTGCTGGCAATAGTCACAGATCATTACTACTTTACTACAATCTATAATATATTAAAAATTTTTGATTGTTCTATTTTTATTTGTTTAAATTACTATATTTAGTTAAGATCGTAAAGGGTTTGAAATTTGTATAATATAAGGCATAAAGATAAAATTTAAAAATTTTTTTTAATAAAAAAAAACTAAACGAACAAAAGGTAATAGTAGATAATAATATTTAACTAATAAGAGATAAAATATACTAATAAAAATATAGTAATAATAATAATAGAATAACAATAACAATACCACACTCTTATTATTCCACTCGCTATGCAAGAAGAAATAGTAATAATGCTTTGTATAGAATGATTGATATGCTTCAAAGAGAAAACTGAAGGTAATAATAATAATAATAATAATAAATAGTAATAATAATAATTTAATAACAATAATAATAATTTAATGATAACAATAAAATTTAGAATAGCTTGTGAAATTAGAACATTAAGAAGAAGAAACGCAGAGTTAAAAAGGTTATTATAAGAAAGGGAAGTGCAAAATACAGTATTAGAGAAATTGTTACAAGAAAAAGCAGCAGCGTTAATGTTAGAGCTTGCAGATAGGAAATTTTAGTTAGAGCAGAATAGGATTGAGAACTAGAAGCAGAATCAAGATTATGCAACTTTGGTGTTGGAGAAAAATAGATTAAGGTCAAGAGTTGCAAACTTGGAGATTTTGTTGCATATTTCTGTTAATTAAATTTTTAAATTTTTAAATTTTAAATAAAAATTTTATATTTTGTTCAGTATTTTATTATATTGTTTATCTGTTAATTTTTTTAATCATTAAAATACTAATAAACTTTGCTTTAATAAGTTGTTTAACTTCAACTTTTTGATAAATTAAAAAGATTCGTTGGTTTGACTTTCATCTTTTTGCTGATTTATTCTTTCCAAGTTCCTTAGTAAGTTTCTTTCTAATTCGGTTAAGAAACTTTTTATCTTTGCTATTTCTATTTTGTAATTTGTCCAAGTAGTAGTCTGCTTCGAGCTTTGCAATATGAATATTTTTTCTCTTTCTATACTGCTTAATTTTTAAAATTATTTTATTTAATACTTCCAGATCATTATTGCTTGTATACGGTGAAGTAATATCTTTATTATTTTCAATTTAATGATTAAGGTCTCTAACAATTTTATCAATAATAGTCTCATTACTATTATTTGACTCTTTTCGCTAAGATTATTTAATATTTCAAAGTTATTAATAACATCTTTGCTTTGGTAATAACTTCTTAAAAGAGATCCAAGATATTGTTTTGTAATAAATTAGTTCAAAAGTTTTCTATTTTAATTTTTATTTATAAAATATAATATTTATAAATAAGATAATTGATACAAAAGGTAGGATTTAAAGCATTTTTATAAATTCTAAAGGAATACAAAATATGTTTCTAATTATTTGTATTCGGTGTTTGTGTAATTATTATTTGTAGTACTGTAAGGCTGTGTAAGTCTCGTAAATATGTGTTGGTGTTCAAGAACCAATCTTCAAAAGCATCCCATTTTGATCTTTTTAGCTTTGCCACCTTTAATTGTGTTTGAAGAACTTTATAGTAAGAGAGAAATGGTATGGCTTTTATGTATTTATAAAATTGTTTGATATTTGGCTTTAGACTTGTTAATTCTTTTTTTTCTAGCTGAATAAACATTAATTCTTTAAAGTCTGTGTCTTTACCTTTGAGTTTCATTAGTCAGATTTTTTGCTAAATGTTTAACGCTTTCAACATAATATTCTATTATTTTATTGTAGAGATCTGGGTACTATGCACAATTTAATGCTTGACCTACAAGCAAATAAATATTTAAATAGAGCTATTTTAATGCTTTGGGCTTGGCTTGATAATATCTAATATTAGATATATGTATTAAAGTCTGTGATAAATTATGAACAACTAATAAATATGGTCGAACGTCAAGTTTAATATTTTCTTTTACAGACTGATAGTAGTAATATTGTTTAAATACCGTATACAGATTATAATGAGTCTTCCATGGATCATAATAGCTCCTAATTATGAAATTACCTAAGTATTCTAACTCTGTAATATCTTTTTTTAAAGTTTACAGTTAGATCAATACTTGCAAATGCGTATGCTTCTTTTAATATTTGTTTCATTTTGTTTTCATTATAACTTTGTAATTTAGAATGTGAATGAAAAATATATTTCTAATCAATAGCGAAAATATTATCATCTCCAAAATTTTTAATGTCAAAGTATTTGAAGAACTCATCAGGGTAGTTACCTGTTAAATATATATATGCTGTTATAGAACCATGTTTAAAAGTCCACATATTATTGTCACTTGTCCTAGCTCGTCCTGTTTCACCCCCTATTTTTAATTCTGACATTTAAAATTTCTGGTAAATCTTTGGCAACATTCTGTAAATAGGCTGATATATTTTTTGTCTTTATAGGAACATAACTGGTTAGTTCATTTACCAATTCTTGTGAGGTGATTAACATACCAAAAAACAGATACATTGTAAAATATGCTTTGTCACCCAGTCGTAATTGGGGATGAGAGTTGAAAATTTTAGACTTATTAACAATGCTATAATCCATAGTAAGAACCACTGTTTCGAGCAAATTATCATTCATATTCAATTTTATCAAATAATCTTTCAGATTTTGATTAAAATATTTATATTTGCCTTTAAGTGATTTTAAATACACCCAATTTTTTATAGAGATTTCATCCTTAATAAATGATATTTGTAAATTGACATGGATTGTAGCAGGGTCATTATATCATATCTGTTCTAAACTGTAAGCCAAAAGTATCCCTCTCCTATCTCATAGATCTGTTATTTGTTTGAAATAATTATTTAGTTTAGAATAGTCATCAGTCAAATGGGCTTGATTAACAAGTAATTTAAAAATAGTGTCATTTTTTACTAATATAGCTAAATTGTTACTTATGGGAAGATCTTTAATGTCTGTTATAAAATCATACCTTGCAAAAAGAGATGTCTTTTCTATATTAGAAGTTGACAAAACAATACTCCCATCGGGAAGTGCAGGACTTTTCGATGTATATAGTTGAAAAGATTTATATTTAGTAAATAAATCTGGTTTGCTAGACACTAAGTAAGAAATCAATTTATTGTCGGCCTCAAGATTTCCAGAATTTATAGCTATAGTTAAGCCTTTTAAATTGGGCAAATAATCTGAACAATAAATGAATCCATAAGACCATAACAAGATGTCTGGGTTATACTAGCTATATTTAATATAATAGATGATCTCTATTGATAATAATATCCAAAGTATGATAATGCAGTCATCACCTTGGCAGTATATTTACCTAATTTTGAATTGTATGCTTTTCCATCTCCTTCACCAAGTTTCTAACCCATTTGTCTTTTTTCATTTAGTGCTTCATAAAACCTGACCATATTTTGGTTTAATACAAGTTCAGTCCTACAACCTGTTTCAAACATGGTTTGTCATTTTGATTATTCAAAAGTTACTATATGGTCTAGAAAACTTGATGCTAAATCTTGAGCTACAACAGTTCTAATATCTTTGCCATTAATGAGTTTTAATATTGGGATGATTTGCAATTTGATGAAAGTTTGATTCTAGGAAGTTGGGTATTTATCTTGTTTCAATAAATCATATGTTCGTCTGATAAAAATTTTATCTCACCCATCTTGTAGTATTTGTTTATAGGTCTTATAGGTTATAGAAAATAGAATGCCAAGTGAATACTTTAATTTTTCATTGTTAAAGATATTTTTTGCGACCATCTCAGGGTATAACAATTTCAAATTTGCTAAAGCTGAAGGTAAATTTTTTACCATGAAATGAGCAATATCCTATACTAGTTGTCTATATTCAGCGAAGCTGATGTGGTATAACGAGAGTCAGCATTTTCTAAATGTATAGGTTCTTTT